AAAGTCTAGGAATCCTGGTATCAATTGGCATTCAACGAATTCACTATCTTACAATATCTTGTCATGTCTTTCATAGGAAACACTAAATAACAAGATGGCTTGTTTCGTTATTGCTTTGTGTGATACAACAAACAACTTTTTACAGATAACAGAGGAAAAAGTGAGAAATCTCTGCTGATATACCGAAATGAATTTCACAAAAGCAGAATCCTAGCGATTACAAATTCCGTCTAGAACCCATAAAGAGTGATTGCGTAATTTTACAACAAAAAAGTTGCAAGAAGTATTTTGTCACAGTGTGAGATTTTAATTTGAAGCACACTTGAAAAAATAAAATTTTCGCGTCTCGTTTTTTTTTATTCAGAGAAAAAATACACCAAATAAACAGTCTTTTTATGATGTTTGTTTTGACACATTGAATTAAGCGAACACAGTTGTTCTCCGTAACTAGAGACTTGATTTTTGTTTACACATAGCACCTTTTAGACACGTTATAATTATACAGCATTTAGACAGAGGCTCTTCATCAGCAGCAGGAAGCGCTAACCGGCGGCCAATAAAAACAGAGGCATATTTTCTGCACCTAACACTGCACATCTGGAGAATTTAGAAATGTCAAAACTGAATTTTGGCCCCTTTGATTTATTTGGCTCACTCTGCCTCCGATCCGTCGTCACTTGAGTAGCTTTATTCTGGTAGTACTTACGTCTCCCGGACTCCGAGGTGCGACTTGATCGGGGTTGGCAGGAACATGGAAGCCACCCGCCCTCGCCCATTGGTCAACGTCATTAATACTGAGATATCCTCCTACAAATCTACAACAGGCACTCTTTAATGAATATTTCACATGTTTGACGAATAAAGATTTCAAAGAGCACAAGGGGAGGCCATCAATCAAAGTTAATTGTTCTCTATCGCTGCAGGTGGAATTATGATTCACGGGTCTAATAGCCAAACATTTATGATAGAGAGATAATGAAGATTTTTATACTGTCTTAATCACAACGAATGTCAGCAGAACGTGCATGAGTTATGGATAAAAGGTTGCTGAATTGACATTTTCTTAAAACTGACGTTGATTACAACTTCCTTTGCTAAGTTTAGCAAATTGATGGATTTGTCAAAGCTTGTTGTTTTTTTAACCTGGCAAAATGCTTTGCAATATTGTGAAAGCGTCAAAGTAGAGAAAATATTATCATTCAACTTTCATATGGTATTCTTTAGTTTCTACAAACTTATTTTGATGCATCTAGATCGAATTCATCCGGAGGGGAATATAATATCATATATGATAAAAATAGATATCCGAGAGCCCGTATATATACCTCATCATGAGTTTTATTATTTAAAATTGCATAGTAATGACTTAGTTTGCGCCCCTCCTTCCCATACAGCTATTAAAACTAGATTCCTCCTTATCAACTAGATACAGGCCCCCAGATCTGCTACCGTGTATTCAAAAGACTCAAATAAGCTTTTCTGATCAAGCTATTGCTCTCGTCTATCTGTTCCATCTTCCTTGAATGGTAGGTTTCACGTTTTCTTTACTTCTTTATTAAATTTTCTGTTTTTTTTTCCTTCGGTACTGTCATTAGTTCAGTCTACATGAACATGTATCTACACTGGCATGTAGCCTTTATTCGAAAACTAGGAATAAGAAGATATTAATATATTGTAAAATTTCTCAAGGATATATAACGAAATTTGATCAAAGCGGTGGAAGCCAGAAGAGACCATGGAAGAGACCGCTGGTATTACGTACATGTACAGAGTGTATATGTGTGCATATTTAAAATGATTATTTTTTAGGAAAAAACCCTGCACTTTGTCAAATTATTTTTCAGCATTTGAACTTCAGCACCATTAACTTGAAGAAATTAACACAACAATCACAATAATCGTTATTATTAAACCTTTTTTTTGGTTTAAAAATACTGAATTTTATTTTATAACGCTAAATTTAAAGTACTGCAAGTATATAATACTAGTATTTAAGTTATAATTGTCATATACTAAATGTAAGTATAGGTTCAAGGTAGTATGATGATTTAAAAGTTGAAACACAAAATAATTTATTTCCTTATACACCGGTGAGATAACCATCAGCATTTGTTCAAGAAACATATATCAATTCAGTCATGTATCAGAATATAATACGTACGACTTGATTTTAATGACAGATAATAAACTTGCACCAAAAAGGACCAATGTTTAATGCTCATAAATATTCTTTTTTAAAATTTAAACTTCTGACTCTATAAAGGAACTACGGTAATCAGACAATAACCATCAATGGAATATGGAGATTACGAACAGTATTCAAGATCAAAAGTCCATTCAAACAATACAAATCATGATTAGGAGCAGGGCCTCTAAAACATCATAGGTGGGATAAGGTGCCATCATTTCCCCTGCCGACAGGCCACACCTGTCGTGTGTTCCTTGTTATAATCGGTGAAAACGGAAAAATCCGTAGACAATTCAGTGTGTAAATAATAGCCTTACAATTAGTATGAAAAAGATCAGTCAATATGTGACTGTGTTTGATGACAAGGTCATTGTATTACCCTAGAACTTGCGAAATGACGACTTTAAACGAGACTGTTGATATTCTTGTTTCATCAACTTGTTTGTTAATAGCTTGCATCGTTCTAGAAATTGTTCGTACCTAGAGCATACTCTTGCGTATCGAATCAAACCAATATGCAGGTGATAAGGGTATATTGTCATATAAGTAAGGAAAGTTGACGATTGAAAAGTTGAGGTCATCACGTTTATCATAAAGCTTCGTTGTTAGGTTACAATAAGGTCTATTATTTAGTCAAATATCCAAATATGAAACAGATGTGTCGGACTTTGTGGTATCTTTAATTTCAAGCTCACTGGGATATATCGAGTCGACATATGTCGAGTTGAAGGCTTCTAGTGTTTAAGATTTTGAATAATTCTGCTTCATAGGAATACAAAATGGGCAAAGAAGACGATGACATATACATAGGTAAAACTCTCGTCTTTCCTGCAATTACTGTGTATGACCGCTTTATATATGACCGCTTGATATGAGTTATTGAGGATTTCTTTCCGGGTGATGACCGGTCATTTCGTGTCTATATCCAAATGTAGAAGAGCTTCAATAGGCAAATCACAGCCATTGCCGTGTCCTTTTATTGCAGTGCCAGATATTGTGTGATAAAGGACGCCGTAATATGCCATCAAAAGCCGTGTTCAATATGATATCGGAGTGTTTTAAAGCAGTATTCTTCCCAACCTTTGGGGGCTGGTAAATAGTGCCCCCTTTTTTAAAGCATTTAATGTTTCTTCCATCGTCATAAAACTTCATATCTTTCTATTTTATTGTGAGTTGGAATATTTGAAAAATTCCACACAAGCAGTGAACCATAAATACATGAAGCAGATAAATCATACCATTATTCAACCTCCATTTTGTTCCTGAATTTTAAAATTTTCATTAAAAACATCTTTGTGGCAGTTTAGGTAATGTACACAAGGAATGGGAAACCATAACTGATAAATCGATTTAGTCATATAATATTGATGAATGTTACCTCATAGTAAAACTGTGTAGGGGGTTCATTACTTTTTCTATTGTTTTCAAAGAGAAGAAATGAAGTGACACCAGCTTCCACTCAAGTAAATTATTCCCTTTGATGACAAACCAACATACTCATAGACGTACTGGATATCATATCTTTATGTGCATCATATAAAACCTTCACTAGAAAAAAACATAAACAACCTCTCTGCTCATGAAAAAATGAATTTTACTAGACCTAGACAGCTTCTAAAAGCAGGAAGCCTTTTATGTAGACATTAGACTCACTTCATACAACTAGAGGCCTAGTAGAAGAATGGAAATCATTCATTGCTATTATACTTATTTGCCATTTCTTAAGAATAAATCTGCAATAAAAGGGAGTCTTCTTCAGGAGCAGACTATTTAGTGGGTAATGGCACGATTATTCTCCCACCAGATCTAACTGGCATGACATTAATACACAGAGGATGCTGGGGACCTTGGGTAATTGGTCGCTAATCAAGTCTGAGATGTACTGTAGCTGGTACCAGGGGAGTATACAATGGACCATATCGGAAACTCGAGTGTATAAATAGACAGCGATAAATGGAATGAAATGGAGAAAGGCATTTGTGTTGTCCAGATTGATTGACGGGAAACAGACCCGAATAAGTTATAAGCCGGTTCTTGACAGTTTCTGGAGTACAGCATGCCATTGATTAAAAACGTCACAATAGGTCGAGACCATAGGAATTCTGATCAGCATCGGAGACAATACTCTCCAATACAATTATTTGTCGCCTTGAAGAATACATTCAATTTTAATTATTTAAGACAATGTATGTTTTATTGTTATTACATTTTCAGAAAAGATAATAAAAATTTTGAAATAATGGCATTTTTAATAGCTAGGTTGATTGCATCCATTTGAAGTGTGATAATTTATAGTTTTTAAATTATCACTTTTGACGTACATGACGCTACAGATCTCTAATCATGATGTCTTTTTTATATTTTATTCATCAAAGCACTGCCTTGGCAAGACATATAGAATTGTGGAAAGCTCATTTCGAAGACATTACACAACTCCTGTAGGACTTCTATATTATAGCCGCCTCAATACAACACCATCTCAAAAAATCTCCCTGCAAAATTATTCATAACCACTGGGCAGGAGATTTTTGATGGTGAAAATTGTATGTAATCACAAAGGATTAAAGGAAAGCTATTATGTACAATTGAGTTACTATTGATCAGTGGACTGTCATATATTTACAAATCTGTTATATTCCAGCGCTTATGTTGTCTCATTGCTTCACACTGCACCCTCGGAGTTTTCAGGCGAACTCAGTTCAAAACAGCAGAATCACCAGGAAACTGATTATCCGGCAAATGTGTTTCTTTGAGTGCAAATTGTTCATTTATTCAACTCGAAGGAGTGTTCGAGTAAAAGGAGTTGTGTACTAGTATATACTATCATTATTTTGGTGATGCTTCTAAATTGACAATAGAACCTTATTCATACCTGCATGGACGAGTATCAAGAGAGTATATGGTATCGTCTATAGTAAGGTTTGTATTCGTATACTCTTGAAGGTTAAATCGAGATCGAATTTGTCTTTTTGATCATTGAAGTTCAAGAAAAAATCATTTATTTCCAGGAAAGCGTAGTAAGGTTTAATGAATGCAACGAGGAGGGAAGCTGCAGGGCTGAATGTTACTGGCGTGTGATGAATTATCAATTAAGTTGTTTTTTTTTTAAATTTAAGAACCCATACATTTTATAACTGAACACCGTTTCAACAGGTCTTTATTATTAACATTCAAACAATTTGGAATTAAAAAAATTGGAAAATTGCTTCCGAATTTTTCTATATTAAAATCAAACATCATGAAAATAGGTTTTATTTCTAACTTTCAAGCATGCATGTTTCAATCAATTTGGACTCGTGTGTTTTCAATTATTGTATTATATTCGATATTTCGATAATAGTGTCGGTTGTATTATCTTAATGAATTTCTTGGATATTTCTGAATAGTTCTGGAATATTATAGATCTATGTATATATATTGTAGAATTAAGCTTCATCAAAGTTATTTACTCAGAAATTTTAATGGTTTTTAAGACACAAAACAACAACTTTAAATGACTCAGAAACAATATTGTATTTAAACTGTAATACTACAATAAATCAAATTCAATTTAAGTGATTAAAATAGAATTATGAAATAGATTATTGTCCATCCGTAAATAGAAATAAAGGGTAACAGGCAATTTAATGCAACATAGTAATAAAAATTCAGTGTATCAGGTCTATCTGCTAAAGTCATCGCTATGGAGCGTGATTTTATCACTGGAAAAGAGTTATTTAAACATGATGTCCCAATCATCAAAAATAATCGGTTATGTGAAACAAAATCACATGACAATTTGCATTTCCCCTTTAACTATATAAAATCATTGAGATATTAAATTGTGGATTTAGTGTTTTATCTGACAGACTTCGTGTTAGAATTCGCTGATGGTGTATCTATTGATTTGGATGGGGTATCCTGTGTAGTTCTACAATCAGTGAACACTCAGGTCATCAAAGGAAGGCAAACATACTCTCACTCGCTCTTAAAACACTCATTAGAACACAATTGGATTACTATCTATATAAGCCGTGAAAGAATTGATGAACACTTCAACTTGGCCTGTTAGATCATTCGCTCTAGCCAAAAAAATGTTTTGTTTGATTGCGTATCGGTAAACGAAATAAATCTAACAAAATACTAAATTGTGATTATATAATTGTTATAATAGAGTAGAAATTTCACTGTAATGGGGAAATTCTGTACCATGACAGAAACAAAACTTCACACTTAGCCTTAAATTAAGCTACTTGAATAGGAGCCAGCAAAATAAAAGTCGAAGAGCAAACATCAAGTTTCACTTAAGAAATAATTAGGGCATAAGTAGCTCTATTTCGGTTTAGAAGCAGGTGTCTCCGGAGAATTCAATTCCGTGAAAAAGAAAATTGCTCAAAATGAAGAAATTTGCTGAATTTTAGGGATTTGATCATTGAGTCAGTAACCATGTGTACCTCAATATATTAAAATGCTCTCATAAAATTTGTTTGAAAATAAGATTTAATCCAAACAAAGTTAATTCACCGCTGGGGACACCATAAATTCTGATACCCCCGATGTCCTGTTGGTTTAGTTTATCCGGAATAAGACCTAAAAACTAATAACATGCACGTTTTCAAAGGCTTTTTAATTGAGAAGGGAAGAAATATTGCATTGAATTTGCTTGTACCAAGTAGGAGGTTCCGTACTATCGCAGCATGCGCGCACGTGCTTCATGACTGGCGTAATATAATGTGTTTTGTTTCTTAATAACAAGGGGAGAGGCTTATTGAGTGAGTGCAGAACTTGGTTGGTCAGTTTTAAGTCAAAGGAAGTGCATGACAGAAATGATGCGGTTTATTTTCCGATAACGAAGTATCAACAGGGGATATTTTTTATCGCGGAGAGCCGGGGGTAAAGTGGGTTCAGGTTTCCAGTATCCGTGGTATTGGTTTTCATTCACTGATTGAGTTAACAACTCTTCATAGATATATGTATCAGATGTGAATGGACCTAATAGGATTAGTCCCTCGGGAAATAACCCCGTCTACAGGTGTTCACAGCGATATGTCTATAAAGACTTCACAGAAACAGAGTTGCTTTCTCATTCTTGTACACTAACGATGGTAATGAAGAGCATTTCCATATATATTTGATTCGTGTGATGTTTTATATATGAGGGATCGATTTATTGTTTTAGATCGAAAGTGGCTTTTCAAAGAGTAAAAAGGAAAGTAAACATTTGGACCATTTGATGAGTAAAAGCATTGGATGTAAAATCAATACCTAAGCACTATTTGATGAAAATGTGAAAAGTATTAACAGTTTTAATTAGTAAAAGAGGGACAGCTGTTAATCTGACTTCAAAAGGGATGGAGGTACCTCACCTCGCTGTGTGTCGTCTGCGTTTTAATGGTAACAATGATATATAATGGTATCTTTTGTGTTTTGTCTGTGGATACTTTTGACCGCCGCTATTGCAGCAGTTTGGTCTGTGAGCCTGCTACAGCCGGTGTGGGTTCTTCACCCAGACAATGTTCACTCGTTTGGACTACAGAAGTACTGTGTTATAGACACCCAGGAGAGAGGGGATCTCCATGCCAGTGCGTTACAGAGGAAGTGCTTACCCTATGGGAAAGAGTTACACATTGGAAACATTCCATCAGGAACATGGAGGGCGGCATTTCTTCTCTTTTCTTCTGGAATTCTCCTTTTCATTGCTAGTGTACTTACTGGGCTAATGTCGCTATTCATCCAAGGAAAATGGGATAAATATGTATCCATAACAACGAAATACATCCAATCAACTGCAGGTAACAGATATAGGGTTATGACAGTTTGAATACAGCTCTACATGTTGATATGTTTAAAACGTAATACATTCTTTAATTTAGTGGAAAAAATAATATCTCTTTGATGTACCAATCAAAACAAAAATATGAATGAAACATTGTCTAATCACCTTGGAGAATTATTTATATTTGGTAAAGTGTTACTTGAAGAGAAAACGGGAAAAAATCCTTCGCTGTTCTGTGATACTCATTCATTACTTTGTTAAATATTGTTTCTGAGTAAGTTCATTTCTAGACAGTAAATAAATAAATAATTTTATAAGGGAATATAAAATTCAACAGTTAGATAGGGGAAAGAAAAACCGATTTGGATGTACTTTTACAAAATGAATGATTTAGCAATCAATTATAGTCTTCCCACAGAAACATCCGCTTCTACAGAAAACAGTAGGAAACTATCTAATGCCGCTTCATGATCAGGTCTATAGGACCTGATAAATCGAAGTCAAAAGTGCGTTCATACATAATAGTACATTACCAGTGGTGGCAATAAACGCCAATAAAGCTCCATTTTTTAGCCAACACGACACTTGTGTGGCACCTTCCGCATCTCAATCTAATCTTTACAATATAGCATTACATCGTAAATTCAGAGCATAACTCTCTTTGGATCAACCTGATTTTTAAGCAATATTCATAAACTTTGCCGTTGGTTGCGCTGTTATCTGTAATCCTTCGCTGGGACATGTGGCAAAACTATCAATGTCTTGTTAATAAGCTTATTATCTTACAAAACACAAACACACACTCGCAATCTGGGGGTTGAAAAGATTATTTTCTTATTGATAATGCCAAAAATTTTCTCATGGTCAATACAGGGACACGAGTTATTTAACATGCTTTCCTTGAAAATTAAAAACAACTCGCTTTCAAAATTTGCTTTTGCTTTTTGGATCACGGAAAAATTAGAAAGAGATAGAGGAAGACGGGTAGGGGGATTGGTTGGGGTTTACAGATGAAAAATATCTAACTTGTCCCGGGATCAATGGATAGGGATATTTTGCTGATATTTGTTGAGTTGTAAAAAGCATTAAAAAATTCCACATACAAATTTGACAACTAGATTTCATTGATTTATTTCAAAGCAAGTTAGAAAAGTGGAGGACGTAATATGAAGTCCTTTAAATGTGAACTTATTTCAAGTACCACTATATTATCGTTTCTCATGGTACTGAATATTCGAATAATTTAAAATATCCTTAAAATCGTGAGTGTAAACTTAACCAATATCGATAGAAATTTTTTTCTCTATTTGTAAAAACCCTTGTTTTGTTTTTTTAAATTGTTGTTGTAGTTACATAGAAATTCACTGAAGAGCTCAAGAGTACAAAACCAAGTTAGTTTTTTCAACAAAGATTGATATTGATCCGGACAAAATATCACATTTATTAATGTTTTTGTCAGTATGGAAGACATAAACAAAATATCAACAACAAAATAATGCTAACCATTCAAGTAATGCTTTCCTTTCTTGATAATTTAGAAGAAAGAGTTAGTATTTCTATCTTTGTTGGAGATGTATATCAGCGAGAAAAACTTCGTAAACGTCTATATTTCTTGTTTGAGGGAGTTAAGTAATATCACATTAAAGAATAATCAATTCTTGCTTTCAATTTCCAGTGCTTGTCGTCATGTCCGCTCTTCTGACCTACCCCCTAGGATTTGGAAGCCATTTCTTCCGGTACTATTGTGGATCCGGGGCAGGACCCTATTACACGGGGCAGTGTAGCATGGGGTGGAGCTATATGCTGGCCATAATGGGCGTGTCTTTGTCCGTCTTCTGTCCAATCTTATGGAGTTTTAGGTGGATTAAGCGTGATGATGTCATGGAAGGAATACCCGTTTAACTGTATTAGAACATATTATTTCATATCATTCCGTGAATTTGCTTCATATCATATATATTAAAATTATGTTAATACAAAAGTCTGATCGTGTTCGATATTTATTTCAAGTGAGTAGTTAAATGAAATAAATTTATCAACGGGATAATGCTACGCTGAAAATTCGAGTGCCACGGTTTTTTTCTTAAGAAAGTGAAAGAAAAAGTTTGCTCCGTAAATAAAACATGTGTATTTCGAATTTTTATGTTAATTTCCTGCGTACACAAAAAAGTGAATTGGCTGATAACCATCTTTGTCATTTAAACATGCTGTTTCATGTTGAAAACTGAATTATACAATTAAAAGAGAAAATCAAATGTTTACAGTGATACGAATTCTGTTACGATTCTCTTTATCTTCACAATCATCACCAAATTGATTTGGTTTCCAATTTCAGGAATATAATAAAGATCGCCAGGGAAAAATCATTTCCACTGGAGTCTGAATCTGCAGTCAAATTCATTGAAGCTTGTGGATTCTCTCTCAACTAAAATGCAAAGGCAAAAATTATCTTTGGAGTATCATGTAGCATAAATTTTCCTGAGTAATAAATAAGCTGAGAAAGAAAGACATAAAAGCAGAAAACCTCGGGGTAAAATCACTCAAGAAAAAAATCATTGTAAATGATCGAAATACTTCATAAGTCGTAATTATTTCTACTTGATAGGTGTAAATACAGAGTATATGGTATGTTTCGATAAGGATCTTTGATAACAATGTTGCGCAAAGATCAATGTAAACAAAGGATAAAAAAGTATAATCTTCAAATTTACACTCTCAAATAGCTATCAGATACGACGAAATTCGTGCTATTTCTTGATAACTTGACAGGGAAATTGCTGTACGTCAATATAAATATTCATCACAGAATCTAAGAAAGCATCTGTCTGTGAGTGTCAGTCTTAATTCCAAGCCCGACTGAATTGTTCTCCAGTCAAAATATACTTTGTTTATTGTCCTAATCAATTAAGAATATATGTTTCAGAACGAATTACTTTATGGCATTTTTCTGTTTTGCTATCAGCAAAGATATGAAGTTTTTCATTTTAAGAATTAAGAGGTAAAAAGTGTTTTATGTAATATTCATGTTCCTTTCTCTAATAAATGTTACAAGGAAAGAAGAACGAATAGTTACAGTTCTTTTAAAATTTGGTGAAAATTAAAAACACTAATCACCCTCTATCCCTTTCTAGCATCAAAATAAAGTAGAGACTTAGTGCTTTCATTTCCTTTAACAAAGTTTCCTTTGAGAGTCCAGGTGTTGAAAACAGGCTTTGTAAAATTGCAATGTTCTTGTATTTTGCAGAAAACAGGCGTATTTGAGTACATTCAAGAAAGAATTAAAATATGAGCACACCCATCAACCCAAAAAATAAAACATGCTCTATAATCTTCAGAAACAGATCTTTCATTATATATTTGCATATTTTGGATACGAGGTTGAGCTCTATATTAAATATTAAAATACTAAAACTTTATGACATTTCTGGAGGAATTTTCAGGATATGGAAAAAATGCCACATTTCATGACATCTATTTCATCGACTAGAGAAAAATACTTCGTATTTAATAGATGCACAGCCACCAAGGGTCCAAGTGATGATGCATTGTCAACCAACAGTGTGCAATTTTGATTTTTTAGAAATTCACAGGGCCACAAAAGGCTCTAAGCGAACCTTTCTCATTTCTACCTAGTGCCGCTTACCGATTGGCAAAAAATAGAACTATTGTCCAGTTTTTCTCATACCCCACATAAGACAAGATAACATCTACTATCTAGCTTCTTCGTCAATACCTGACCACTATAACCCGTTGTTGAATTTTACCTACAAGCACATTACATAAGACATACACCAATATGTAGGATGTATGGCCAGTATGTAGGTATATGAATATGTTGTATTGACATATGAATAATTTAATACACGTTCAAGACATACTGTGATTAGATTAGATGCCGAAGGAAAAAATAAGCAAAATTATACACAAAATTATACACGCTCGAATTGAAACCCCTTTTCAGTATTTCAAATTAACATTTCCACACTGAGAAATGTGAAGCTAGTATATATAAGTTTTTTCATTTATAAAAAGTTATGGATACTAGTATGTTAACATCATCACTGAATGATTTCCACAAGCAAGATTTAATCCCAAGGACGTGAAAACCCCAACAAATCCTTTTTACAAGTTACCTCTACAAATTGTACCTTTAGAAATCGTACCAAAGTTACATTTACAAATTGTACCCAAGCTACGTTAACAAACTGTGCCAAAGTAACATTGACTAATTTTATCAACGTTACATTTGCAAATGTGTTTGATAAGAAATGATTATACATTTGTATATGTTGTAAATGTGTCATTCATATCGACAATTTATCTGACGTTCGTAGTAAAATAAACACGAGAACCTTCTGTCTGATTTTCTGTTGATGTTGTACTCACAATTACACGATATGGTGTGGCACGTGACACTATCAGAAAACACGACTTTTGACAGTTTACAACAAAACATCATCATAAACAGAATTTAAGTTAAGCACTTCCTATTCATATCGTCAATAAGTAATGGTGAACTCACGGAGGCACATTGCATATCAAAGAACTATATTTAATCATGGTGATGAAACATCCGCGTGAAATGATATCCATCAACATGTCAATGTTTGTGTTATCTCAGTGAGAAATCAATTCCGCTGACAGAGATGGGTCGCTGAATTAGTGATTACACAACATATTAGAAAACAATTAAAATATCGACCTATTTGGTTTATATCCACATCTAGCCGTACGCTTCTATCGCTCTTGATTTTGAACACACAAAATGTGATAAAGTTTCATTCTGGAGCATAGAATATCCTTAGTTCCTATAAGTAACATCCTATCTTTTGTATATATATTACACAATAACTAATGTCTAAAATAATTTTGGGGCATTTAAAAACAAACAATTGTGAGGCATTTTTAACCTTCATTGCATTAATTAAAAACAGAAGATTCTTTATCTGAATGCAAATATATTAATGATTAACTTTGTGAGTTTATTACATCCCTTTATGTAAAGAAAATTCCTTTAATGTAACAAAAATACCAAGGAAACATCCAAAGGTTTATTGAAACCGTTATTATATTTAAACCTATACAAAAAAATGTTCAGGATGATTTCTTTACATTTTTTAAAGAATCATTTTAAATGTTTAAAATTTCAGGGAGCCCGACTCTTTCAAAAGATGACAGAACTTCATTTCTTTCTTTTTTTTTTAATTTTGAAACCTGTCCAAGAGTATGCCATTCGATGGGCTAAATATGAAGGGCAACACCTCGACACTTTGTTAGACTCCATCAGAATATAAGTTTCACATTAAAATCTCGAATTTGACAATGTTTATAGCATCTTTCCTTCTGCTTTCAGTACATTCCAAGTGGTACAAGAATTTTAAAAGATTTCTTGAAATATGAAGATAACGAACAGAAATCAAGCTCAAAAGCCTATTGAAACAATACAAATTGGGAGCAGAGCAAACACAGACCTCTAAAACATCATAATTGGGATCAGGAACCATGGAGAAGTAAGCATTCCTTGTCGACCGGTCACACCCGCCATGAGTTCCTGTCTAGATCGGACAAACCGGAAATCCGTAGACAATTCGGTGTGAAAATAATGGTCTAACAATTTGTATTAAAAACAACTGTCAATATTCGACATAACGGTAGATTGTATTTGGTGACAAGGTCATTTTATCGTAAATAGAATTTGCGAAATGTTAACTTTAAACGAGACTGTTGATATCCTTGTATCATCAACTTATTTGTTGATGATTATATGGAGGTAATAATGGTATATTGCTACATAAATGAGGGATGTTGAGGATAGAAAAGTTAAAATTGCGTTTATCATAAATTTTTGTTAGGTTGCCATTAACATCTTTTTCCAGTAAATATCCAAATACGAAACAGATGTGTCAGACTCTATCGTATTTTTTATTTCGAGTTCAAAGGGATATATCGAATCAACGTATATTGTTGATTGATAAAACGTCGTCGATATATCTATTACTACACAGCAAAATGTGCCACGTACGTATCATGTACGTTAAACGTATGTGATACGTACGTGACTTCACGTACGTATCACATGAAAAAAGCACCACGTATGTTAAACGTACGTTTTCACACGTATGAATATCATGCATGACACGTACGTTAAACATACGTATTGACTACCATACGTTACACACATGTTGCACACGTACGTTATTCATATGGTTCACGTATGAATAACGTACGTTCAACATGTGTGTAACGTATGTTTTGAGAAACATGCGTTTAACATGTTTGTTAAATGCACTGCTCATATGATAAATGTATAAGTACCATACATGTGCCAAACCATGGTTAAACATATGTTTTGACCACCGAACATTCTTTTTCACATATATATTGTAAACATACGTGAAACAAAAATGATGTGCAATTAAAATATTCATTTCATGCATTTGACATAATTTTCTTCAGGGGCTTATTTTCTTTTCATCTGTTGAATGATCCACATTTTGAAGGTACATATCTGGATATCCTTCACCTCAAATTTCCTGATCCTAATTGCTCTTTAGGCAATCACAACAAAAGACATATTCAAATTTAAGCCAATTTTAATGTTGAGATGTTAACATCAATTGATTCTTCTGCAATTCCCTTTCATCTGTAAAGAAAAAGAAAATATTAAATGAATTTGCATATGGAAAAACACAAAGTTTTTTTTCAGAACATTATTATTTTCTACATATAACTCCTGATTGACTTCCTTTAGAACTAAACTAGAACTGTCCAATATGGACAAATACCCCCAACTGGGTTTTTCAGAGAAGATGCCAAGTCACTAATCTTAGTATTTTAGGATCTAAAAGGTGTTCAAAAATTGTTTATACATTTAGAGAGAAAATTTACCAGTAATTGCTCATTATATTTTTTTAATGAATGAAACTTTGGCATAGCCTAGTAAAACAGCAATACTAATAATAATATTGTTTTTTATTACATTGAAAAATTAACAATTTTTGAAGTATTTCTCTGTTGGAAAGTATGGATGCATTATTTATCCATTTTTTCTACAGTATGTGACTATAGGTCAGGATCATGACACACCCTCAGGTCATAAACAATCTTTGTGTGAAGTGGATACTCCCAACATCCAAAATTATCCTCCATAGGAAAGATACAGACCGAACACAAATTATGAACTTTTTCTGTCAGTGACCTTGAACTTGTCCAAATGACCTTGGGTCAGGTCATGACACACCTTCAGGTCATAAGCAATCTGTGTGTAAACACGAATTATGATTTTTTTCTGTCAGTGACCTTGAACTTGCCCAAATGACCTTGGGTCAAGGTGATGACAAACCCGCAGGCCACAAGAAATATTAATATAACATATGGTTTTGTTGTTCTTGAGCAGAAATTTTTTAAAGATTTTTCCCTACATATGCCTTTGTAAAAACTTAATCCCCAATTGTGGCCTCTCCCTACCCCAGAGTTCATGATTTGAACAAAATTGAATCTACACTACCTGATGATGCTTTCATATAAACATGATTAATCATGGCTTTTCTGTTCTTTAGAAGAAGATTTTTTCCTACATATTCTATGTAAAACTTTGATCTCTAATTATGGTCCAATCCTATCCCCAGAGGATCATGATTTAAACAAACTTGAATCTACACAGCTTGAGGATGCTTCCATTTCAAAATGACTATTCATGGCTTTGCTATTCTTGAGAAGAAGAATTTTAAAGTTTTTTTCCTATGTATTCCTATGTAAAATATTGATCCCCCATTGTGGCCCCTCCCTACCCCTGGGGGGTCATGATTTGAACAAACTTGAATCTACACTACTTGATGATGCTTCCTTATCAATATGACTAAACAAGGCTTTGCTGTTCTTGAGAAGAAGATTTTTTAAGATTTTTTCTTATATATTCCTATGTAAAACTTTGATCCCCCATTGTGGCCCCAACCAAACCCAGGGCTCATGATTTAAACAAATTTGAATTTACACTTTGACATACAAGGTTTCCTATAAGTTTCAACTTTTTTGGCCCAGTGGTTCTTGAGAAGAAGATTTTTAAAACATCCCACTAAATTTTCACTATTTCTTAATTATCTCCCTTTTATTGAGGGTGTGGCCCTTTATTTGAACAAACTTGAATCCCCTTTACCCAAGGATGGTTTGTGGCAAGTTTGGTTGAAATAGGCCAGTGGTTCTGGAGAAGAAGTCGAAAATGTGAAAGTTTACAGACAGACGGACAGCTAGACAGACAGACAGACTACAGACAAAATGTGATCAGCAAAAGCTCACTTGAGCTTTCAGCTCAGGTGAGCTAAAAACAGATAGCAATAGATCATGACTGACTCAGGTTATCTAACTAGTTATAACATTTTTTTGTGATTACATGTAAGTCAGCTCAGGTGCAAAATATTGCTTATCACTGATATAAATACAACAGTAAAATTTTAGACATAACCATATGTCTGACAATTAAATTCTATATAATAATAGAACTTACCCTCAGCATAAATCTTTCATAGCTTGGCATGGACCTATATGTTTTTGTGTCTGTTCGAAGTGTATACTTTTTGTCCTTGGGGTAAAAAAGAAAATATATGTTAAAAAAAATTGCATTTCAGACTTGTAAAGCAAAACAAACAATATGAAAATTTACTTATTTTACTGATAACATTTAACATTTTCTCCTCTTGTGATTGAAATGTAATGCACATCATTACATTATATTATATGTATTAAATTGCAAGTCTAAAAGCAATGGGATCAGAAAATTAGATTTCTTTTTTAAGAGTTTTACCATAATGCTGGTTAAACTTTCAGAATCTGTTTTTGAAGTCCAGACTTGGCATTTAGGTGTTTACATAGGAGATGAGCTTCAGCCACCATCCTGGAGTGTACATTTAAAATCATGTAACCGGAAGCAGAACTCTTTAATGAATAACTTAACAAAGTTAATAGCCAACTTGGCTTAAAGCAGTAAACTGCCTCCAGTTATGATTGTCAACCCAGGTAAGGGGATATCTGAACTATGATCAACGCTAAATGAAAACACAGTTGTAAGTTTTATCAATTTAATAAAGTGAGAATTAACCTTTGTAAATGATAACAAATAATAAATAAATAGTCAAAATTTAACAAACAGAATAAAGTCTTTCAAAATTGCACAGGAATAAATAGTTTTATCAAAAATATAATTTAATCTGGCAAGTGAATAACAATAATCTCAATAAATAAATAAGAAGTTTGTGAAAAATTTAATAGGAAAAATGGGAGGAATGTGAAAAACCTATGAAAATAATTTATGTCCCTACTGAGCTTCCATACTTATGAAAGTTGTCAAAAATCCTATAAAATGAATGAATTAGAAAAGTGTAAAAGGAATGAGCTACATCACCCAATATGACTACTATCAACACTCTAGAGTTGAACTGAAAATATCAATGCTAATTCTAGGTTCTAAAAATAACTGACCCAGAAAATAAACAACACCCAAAAATAAATAATAAATAGTAAATAGTGGTTCTAGGAATTATACCTGTTATCTACAAATCCCTAGACCAGGCTGGACTTGGAAAGGGGAAAACTAAATTAACTCTATAAAACCTACATCCTAACTGTTTCCTAACAAAAATCTAGAACTTGTGAAAAACGTGAAACTAAAGCTAGCTAAGACCTAGAGTACTGTTAAACCATGAGGTTTTCTTAGCACTCTAAGGTACTAATCAAATAGTGCTCATAAACCATTAGGTTTTCTTAGCACAGTAAAGAGGAACTAACCATGAGGTTGTGTTCCCCAACCCAAGTGAAGAAAACTACACGAACACGGCTTTAAATACCCTAGCTATAGGCCCAAATATAAAAGCCAATAAACATCAAAGATTCTATAGCTAAGTTAACCAATCAGAACACAGCTACCAAAAGTACTATGGAAAGACTCCCAACATGGATGACACTTCCTGTTTAAAAAGTAAAACATATGGAATGTCAACACATGTCCTAACTTATAAAAGACAAATAATAAAGGGGTTTTACGTAAGTAACAACTGAAAACAAATGATAAATAGAATAATCTGACTGAAATATCAGCAAATACTTGTAAAATATTATTTACGAAACGAGGGCTATGAAATAGAAATCTAAACCACTACAATCACATAAAAAAATCACAATCTCAAAATACATTATTTATATTCATAAGGACTGTATGAAAAAGACATCTGAAAAATAAGTGTTACACCCTTATTGCCCTAAAAGATAATTTATATTTCCTCTACATGTTTTGTAAAGAAATACATTGGGTGGGTGGAACTTTTTCCATCAAGGGTTTTATTGCATCTTATTGGTAGGCTAAAAAAAAATCTTACAATAAATATTTTTTATAACAGTATGTTTTATACCTCACCTTAATTTTGATATAATGTGCCAGTGTTGATTCACACCTGGGCTGGGGTGCTGACCAAGACAGTTGACTTATTTGGTATACTAAGTTTACATTATGTTATACACTAAAATAAAAGAAACACACCCGTTAGTTTACATGCAACACAGTCTGAAATATAAAGTAAATAAATAACTGTTGATGTTATGTATATTCCTCACCGTTACTCCTAGCCTAACTCCAGACACTGTCTTGCAGACGTCAGACTTCTTACCAGTGACGTCACCTGTTAACGTAAATAATAATCGGAGGTGAAAATTCCGGAACGTACATTTTACATATTTAGTGTTATACGGACGCTACCAACTGTATAATTATGTAATACCTATTTAGGTGAATTCCATTTGAGTTCTGTTGTGAAATTATCGTGATTTTCTTTTTTTTTTTCAAATTCAGCTTTTGCTCCTGAATTCGGAATGATTATATCTACCGATGATCGAGTTCAATTTTATGTGCCTCTACCGATATCCGATATACATATTACGAGATTGGTGTACTTGTATGTAGACTATGTTTTACTGCTCTAAGAGTAAATTATACACCAATGCGAACTGATTACTCCATGTCAGACATGCAAGTGGACGTAAGGTAAACAATGTGAAATAAATTGGAACATTAAAGACGCAAAACACGCACAACAAGTCAACAATGCACACACCTGTGAGCTTTCAGAGGTGATTGGGTTTTAATCATCATTATCATAGATCATGATATGATATTATTTTTTTGAAAAAAAAAAATAGTTAAATCTTTAAAATATAATATGTTGACGGTGCGACCGTTGGGGCGAGCGCATTGCTCACTTCATTTTAAGATCCGCCTCTTCAAACCGCACGAGACATTTGGAACGTCTAGACTGTGACGTCACATGACGTATGTTAGCTGCATTTCCATAAACAAAGTTTAAAAAGTGCACATATTTTAACAGAGAACGTTTAATTTACTATCTGCATGCAATATCCATTAAATTAAGGTGAGTTTATTTTTTGTGAAATTTTAGTTGTTGTTACCGCGTGAATGAAGTTAGCAGCGAGAACAAGAAGCGATGCATTGTGGGTCAGAATTACTGCGGAAAAAAATTCTATTGAATGAATGTGCAGTAGTCCGAATTTTCTCTTCGCCCAGGCGTTGTCGTTGGAGCTCGCAGTGACGAGCGGCGCTTCGCGCTATTACAGTATAATGATTAAAATCCACGCAACTTATGATCTAGGGTCCCGTTTTAAGAGGGATTTCATACTTGGACCAAGTTGGTCGCAATACTCTGTTTCATGAATTACAGGTTATTGATCCGGCACAATCTCCTGATTAAGCTATATAGCTTGATTTAGCTATATAGCTTTATTAAGCTATTCAGAATAGCTTGATTTAGCTATTTTATCACACTTTTTTCTCAAATGTGTTATTTTCCAAGTATGTACAAAAAGTTGCACCTTGGTGCAGTGATGATATTCAACCTTGAACTCTTATGAAAATAATGCATGTAAAAATCACTCATCAAATTGCATCTCCTTAAGAGACTTTGTACTCAAAGTTCTAAAAGTTTTGGGGGCTATATAAAGCAATTGATACAGTTACCTCTTCAATGAAATTATAAAGGAGGCCAATTATGGTCAACAAGATAATTGATTGGTAATAATTCAGTACAATGAGAAGCAATCATACTTATCCATGCCTCAACTCACACAAGGTAGTGTACAGTTACCCAAACAATGGAAATTCATCTTTTGCTTAAAAGTATTCAAATGCTGCAATGTTAGAACTATCTTTGATTTGGGTTGTTGATTTGATAACCCATATTACATATGAATAGTCAAATAATTGCGACTTTTTGTCTATTTTGTACAAATAACATTTTTGTGAAAACCTGCGTATAAATAGCTTTATCAAGCTATTTTGAATAGCTTAATAAAGCTATATAGCTATTTCAAGCTATAAAGCTTAATCAAGAGATTGTGTCAGACCTGTTGATTGTTAAACATTATCTTGATTAGTTCTCCAAATTCACTCTGAACTATTAAGTAAAAAAAAGTATTTGGTCTGAGGTGTACTTTTGTACAAAAAGTTCCTGTTACATATTTGAAAATGTCACCAGTTTAAGAATATTATATAGTCCCAGCAACAATAAAACTTTTAGGGATTTTTTTCACTTGTTGACAAAAATTAAATAATAATTTTACTAATTAATTAAACGAATTAAAAGGATTGAATTTAATTATAGTTGACCTACATTTATCATATACATGTATGTAAAAGTACCATTAATATAGAAAATATACAGCCTTCTCAAACACAGCCAGCTTTTCACACACATGTAAAACAATTTTTATTAACCAACATGTAACATAGCTGATAACACTCATACTTGTCATTAATGTACATGTAATGTGTGGTTTTTAATACATGTAAACCATGTATATATTAACGTATGTATAATGTGTGGTTGATAATAAATGTAAATCCTGTGTGTGAAATATGTGTAATGTGTGGTTTATAATACACATGTAAACCGTGCGTTTATTAACGTATGTGTAACGTATGGTTGACAATACATATGTAAACCACATGTTCATTAACGTATGTGTAACGTGTGGTTGACAATACACATGTAAACCATGCATTTATAAACGTACGTGTAACGCGTGGTAGCACATACCATATGTAATACGTACGTGAAACGTACGTAACACATACGTGTAATTCAACCGCATGTTTCACGTACGTTATGTGAAACGTATGTTGTCACACGCATGTTATCCATACGTTATACCACGTACGTGTAACGTGCAGTTGGAATACACGTATGTGTTACGTACGTTTCACATACGTGTAACATATGGTATGTGCTACCATACGTTACACGTATGTGGCACAATTAGCTGTGTAGTAAATGTTGAATTGAAGGTAACAGTAAAAGACTTCTTTATCATATAGAAGTTTTTCAATAAATCCTGCTTCATATGAATACAAAAATAAGTAGGTCTGCTAATAACGGGACACAATAAGTACCCAGGGAATTTCTACAGAATGTTGGAAGCCTTGATCACCAAAACTACATAGATTTTGTTAATAAGAAACTCAAGCATCTTTTTAGTATTAACTTCGGCGTTCTCTTGTGTACAGAATATTTTTTGACAAAATAATTTGCAAATGGCCAATGACAAGGGAAGTAAATTTACGGGTTCCATTTTTTATCAAAAAAGGAACTGTCTAAAAGTCTGGACTTTAATTTATCTAGGGGAATGGTTGTATAAAGTGTTGCAAAAAAACAGGCTATGAATCGATTGTATATTTAACTGAGAAACAAGAGTTCTTGGAAATAACCCTTGTTTTTGTCTTAACAAAATAAAAAAAAGTTGGTACTATCCAAGATGAAAAAAAAATTAAATGAGATACCACATAATCTCAACTGCATTTAGCATAGATTTGACCAGATAGTCTCTATATTT